TTTTTTTTTTTTTTTTTTCTAATCGTCTATAAAAAAACGGTTTATATCTTTGTTGTATATATCATCATTATCTTTCCTTTTTTTCCTTACTCAACCATCCATCCACGTCTATATGAATGCGATTATGCGTTTATTTAATCGTATTTTAGTTGGGCCACTGGGCCGAGGGTTGGTTCATTTGTGGAATAAATGGGCTAGTCCGGCCCTTTTGATAAAGCTGGAATGGGCCTACTGGAACTCACAGTGGCGGCCCAATGGATCAGCCCTTTTCTTAAAGTTTGGATGGGCCTCGTGGAATAAGTTACGTATACATAACTATACGAGTGTCATACATTATAACATACTCTTACATACATAGATTGTTGAGTTAAGTAAAAGATACACTTCAACCCTATTTTCGTTTCATCCCAATTTAACACATGGTGTTAAAAAACTACAAAATTTGTGGACTATTTGTATTTTACCTCCGATTGAAATTAGAAAAGATTGTGGAGAAATTATGGAGAGGTTGTGGACCATGGTGCCACGTCGTGCATGATGAAATTATTGTATGGGAGTTGACTTTTTCAGTTTGTTGACAAAAACTCCAACCTGACACGACACGCGCCACGCATTCGTTCTTTTGATTCTTAATCATTCTTGTTTTTATCATTATTATAAAAAAAATTTGGAGGCATCTGGCAAGCGGTTTATGAATTTATATCTGGGTTGCTCTACGTGTCTAATTACAATAATAGTATAGTATATATGAAAAATATTTATTCTATTTTAGACCCTTTTTATGCGATTTGGATATAGCTTCTGTCAAGTAAGTACATATATTCGATGTTAATCAACCTATGGGAAAAATAGTGGAATCGATGTTTTAAAAAAGTTTAGAAATTATGATAAAGAAGTCATTGAGTTGTATCCATTTGTTGTTCATTCATTAGGTGCATGAATTGTATATCCCGAAAAAAATAAATGTTATACAAAGTCAAATTTAGTAAAAAATAAATGTATATATTTCGTTTTCCGCTGAATTTCTTAGCTTGTTCTTTCTAAAATAATAATAACACTAATATTCTTATAACAATTTGTTATATTAAATATTACCCATCTACTTCCACTTCTAATTTGCCACACCTTCACTTTATTTGGTTTAATTACATTTTCCAAAATATACATGAATAATTATTAAATGTTAAGCAGGGAGGACTGGTTGAACAAGAATTATTATAAATCTTCAATGTCATAAGCTTCCTAGTCCTTATTGCCTCCTGTGACATCTAGTTAGCTAATCATCTATGCATATATGGTTGGATTCATTAATTTTTTTCTTATTTAACATTTATTTCCATAGTGGCAATTTGACTATACAAAATATGGATTTTTTAAATTAATTTTTTTCATTAATTATGTATCCTAATTCAATTTTAGTAAACATGAATGGATCCATTAAAATCAAAATGATTCGATTCGGTTCGCTCCATTCAAATCAAAATGATTGGATTCTGTTCTTGAAAGACAAACGTTACACTCGCTTAAAACAACCCCTTTAGCAACAGAAACTAGGCATATGCTAAAATCTAAACCCACGAAATACACAAAACCACATTTAATTTCCACAGAGAGATGAGAGAATCAGAAGTGGAACTGATTTACAACGAGAGATGAAGAACGGGGACTGAGAAGATGGTAAGATCCAAATCTCTTGGGAGTAGGGTATCCACATCCACGGCGGAGATCGGCGGCGCCGTCGTCCATCTCCATCAGCACTCTGTAAAAACTCTCTACATCGCACGGCAACGACAGCGGCGCCTGGCAGTTGTACCCGTATTCCGCCTCCGCCTCTTCCAACAGCGACCGGAACAGAGGATGATTCGCATACTCTGTTGGGATCACAAATCTCTGCCTCTCCGCTCCGACGTACACCGTGAAACAACCTTCCGGCGCCACTCTACGCGTCCGGCCATAGCTCCGCCACCGTTCCTCCTCGTCCTCGTCCTTGTCTTCTCCGCCGGAGATGAGCTCCAGGCGAGGCCATGATTTTGACTTCCTCGTTAAGAATCGTTTTATTGCGGCGGAGGACGGTGAATTTCTTCCCCCTCGGCCGATCGTCTTGCAGCGCTCCCAGGTTTTCAAGATCAGTCCCTTGTTCTTCACTTTCTCTCGACTCAAATCCATAGATGGAACGAAGGAAGGAAGTAGCGAAATTTAGAAACGAAAATCCTCGGAATCGTAATCTAGTGAGATGAATCGAACAGGATCTTAACCTCGATCGTAGACCAGATAAAACAGGATCTTAACCCTAGGCCTCATTGTGTTACTCATCGTGATTAACGAGAAATCAATTCGATGAATTTGGGAGAGGAACAAGGAACAAAGTTGATTGTGAAAATTTCTTGAAGATTATGAAGAAAAATAAAATAGAATGGAAAAGAAAAGAAACAAAGGAATCTCTCTGGTCTTCGTCCTTGGGTCGATTGAAAATGGCGTCTGTGTGAAGTTGGAGGGGGGAAGAAGAGGTTTATATATATATAAAGCCAACCCCAAGTGGAATTTCAATATTTTTCAATTTCTCTCTCTCTTTCTATTTTTTAAAATTTAAATTATTGATATTATTTTATGTGACATCACTCACTTGTCAACGGCTGTGTCTCTTAGTGCAAAATTTAAAAAAAAATTAAAAGAAAAAATTAAAAGAAAAAAAAAGGGAAATGATTAAAGATTTATAATGTTTATTCTTGTATTTTATAAGGATGGAGGTTGGTTTTGAGAAACTAACCATTTTTGAATGTTGGGACAGTTTTCTTCCCTTAAAATATAATTAAATTTAGTATTGGATTTATTCAATTATTGTGTTTATTTTAGTCCTTCATAAATTTTTTAAAATCAACCAATTACGATTCTAGTAAGTCAATGACGTGGCACTAAGGAGTTGACTAAGCTGACAAATTAAGTTCAAATTAAACAATTCGGAAGCTTCAAGAGATTGCTACTAAATATTGTTATTATTTTCAGAATAATTATGATTTAATTAAGGAGCATTAACTAGTTTTTATTGTCAATCTAACAACGATTCATTTAGAACTTCCATTCACCATTTGCATCGTTTTGAGAGAGCAACATATTTGATTGCTGTCGGCGTTTAATTTCGCGATCGAAATTTAAAAGAAAATGCAAAAATATAGAGAAGGAAGAAATTGATTAAAAAAAAACATTCTAAAAAATGAGAACAATGAGATATAAATAAACAATAAATATTTATATAAATAGAAAAAAGTCAACTTGTATTATTACATTTAAAATGGTCCAAAAATTCAAAATAACACTCGATTCTTTTTTTTTTGTTTTTGTCCCTTGGGTGGCGTTAAAAGTCCAGGTTAATTGTATTATTCCACAGACCAAAAAAGATTTATTGTCAGTAATTTTGATTTATTAAAACATTTTGGTCAAATTCTAATGGCCAAAATCAGAGTAAGATTTATTATAATTAAAACTAACAAAACAAAACAATACCGGCAGAATTATTGATTCTATCTGTTACTTAATAATAAATATATCATCTTTTTTGTTAATTTATAAATCAAGATTATTTAAGCTTCTATATTTCGATCGTGATATTTCATATTTATGGTATAAATGTTTGTAACTTTATTATGGAAGTAGTTGGACGTAAATAATAAATAGTTGGACGTAAATAAAAGAATAAAAAGAAAGTAAGGAATAAAAATAAAGAAAAAGAAATATGGGATTGGAGTCAAAAGAGAATGATGGTGGAGTAAATTATTGAGTGGGTAGGAGGACTTAGTCAAACCACATTATAAATTTGCATTTTAATAATATGCAAATTACTAACTTTACTCTCTATTTACTTTAATTTTATACCCAATTCACCTCCTCTTCCATAACACACATTAGTCCGGTCCAATTTGCTCAATTCCGTCCATTTTTTTCTACTCCATTACAATCACCATTTTGTTGGGTCCAAATATTTTATAATATACTTTTTTTTTTTTTTTTTTTTTTTACTAAACTCTTTTAAATTTTGTGGGGGTAACCCACCCAATTCATTTAAAATTTTAGATTAGTGCTCGAACTCTCTTAAATATATTCAAACCAACCTTAACAATTGAGCGAGATAAGGTAGAAAAAGCAAGATCAACTGGTTGCTATTATTTATTTGTTTTTTAGATCGATAAACCATATGGCAAGTAAGTCCTTAAGCTAGTTTTGTTTTTTTAAAATACATTTTTTTATTAGAAATTTGAAACTGCTTGAGAAGTATGAAAATAATAAATTCTTTTGGCAGAGACTTGATATTGGTACGATTGATTAAAGATAATGTTCCAAAATCAAAAGTCTTATGGGCGGCGGAAAGGATTGGAATTTGGAAGTATTTGCTTTTTTTTTTTTTTTTTTTTTTTTTATCAGATNTATTTTAACATACAAATATTCATCTATATAGTTCACACTCTTATAAACACTTCAAAACAATGAGTTAAATTTTGTATTAAAAAAATTGGATGTACATTTTAAGTAACAAGCAAAGAGTATTACGTAGAATTCAGCACAACACCAAAATACAGAAGCATACTGTTAATGGAATTGTCAATCGTATTTGTAATTCTTCAACAGCACTGTAAGACATGACACAGAGAAGTGTAAGAATCAGAATGGATGATGCATTCAGAAGATGGAGGAAGAGGCAAAAAGGCCAACCTTTTTATTTTAAACCCAATCTTTTGGGTTTCCTCTCATAATCACATCAAAAATGTGTAAGAATCAGAAAAAGGAGGGAACAAAAGGAAAACAGGAACCGAATGATATCATCTCCCCACCGCCACCGCTCAAATTAGGTAGAAAAGTTACTCTGTATTCAAAGCAATTCAATTCCTTCTCTCATTCTTTCCGTTGGCGGTCTTTCGATGCGGTGGTCTAATCCCGAAGCAAGGTACCCAGGATCTAAATCTTTTTTTCTTTTTTTTTCCTTTTAGCATCATTCACTAAGAACTTGAGAATGTAAGCTTTCTTGCAAATTTGAAGATTAATGAAATAATACATTGATAATATCCAGCTTCTTGATTCATAATATAAACAGACACATCCCCCTTGTTTTCTGTACATGAATTATAATGTTTTTGCTAGAAAAATCATTGGCACACTAGGTGTTTGTTGTTTTGCCTGAATGGACTGGGCACCCGAAAAATACATAACCACGCATCAAACAGTATCATATTCAAACAAATTTTGTAGTGGTAAATAGGAGGGAAGACAAAGAACAACATTAGGGCTTTTGATTTTGGAGGCCCTGTGGAGGGGATGGGGGGAAATGTGGTATCCATGTTCTGGGGTCTCTAAGGTCAAATGCAGGAGGTGGGGGAGAGAAAAATGGAGGAATATGGGGAATCCATGTTCTGGGGTCTCGAGGATCAAATGCAGGAGGTGGGGGAGTAGCAAATGGTGGGATATGGGGAATCCATGTTCTAGGGTCTCGGGGATCAAAAGCAGGAGGTGGGGGAGGGGAAAATGGAGGAACATGGGGTATCCAGGTCCTTGGATCACTGAGACTGAATGGAGGTGGCGGCGATGGCAGAGGTGGTGGAGGAGAAACATATGGTATCCAGGTCCTTGGATCACTGAGACTGAATGGAGGTGGTGACGGTGGCGATGATGATGAAAGAGGTGGTGGAGGAGAAAATGGGGAAACATATGGTATCCAGGTCCTTGGATCGCTAAGACTGAATGGAGGCGGCGGAGGTGGTGCAGATGGCGGAGGTGGACTTGAAGGTGAAGGAAAGAAAGGAGGCAAAGGTGGGAAAGGAAATGGTAAAGATGGCGGGTTAGGACACGAAGGGAGAGGAAAATATGGAACAGGGGGCAATGGAGGAAGTGGAGGCAAAGGAAAGGAAGGGAATGGTGGCAGAGGAGGAAAGGGGAAAGGGAATGAATAAGGAGGGAAGAAGGGGAGAAAAAACTTTGAGGAGGTCAAGGGATCTGGAGTTTTCTCTTTCTGATCTCCACATAAGCTTGCATTCTTCTTAACAGGCCTGTAACTCAAGGCATTTAAGCTGAATATACAGAGATTATCTTGCTTAGACTTAATCGATATCTCTTCGGATGCAGTTCTTAAACCTGGAACATTGCAGACTTCCGATGAGGTTCCTATTAAGGTTGCTTGGCAAAATGACTGCATTGTCATACCATCCACACAATTGCTTCCATCCACAGATGGAATTTCCAACCTATATACTCCATATTTATCTGTAGTTCTGTTGACAGAGAAGCTCATTTGCTCGGCCATTTTGGGAGCAACTGCTCTAAATTTGCACTGTAAATGGACATCCACACCTGACCACCACACCACATAGTGTCTATTAACACACATAATGCTAGGCAGTTCAAATTCTTGACTTTATAACAACTGTGAAACTATTTTTCTTACCAGGCAAGAAGTAGCTGTGTTTGGAGATACTGTTGCTCAAACATGTGTCGCAATAAACTGCACCCACTACCGAGATTCGAGCGACCGACGCTGGGGTTTCAGCTGTAAGGCCAAACAAGTTAGCAAAGAAAGATAGTAAAAAAAGGAGGAGAGAAATGGTTGGATCCATAAGAAAGACTGAAGGAGGGAGGAGGTTGAGCATCAATGGGTAAGTCCTTAAAATTTTGAAGCGTTTGTTTGCTATATACTGTTTGCATATAACGTGCCCGTGAGTTCTTGGTGTTAGACCAACTGTAATGAGAAAAGAGAAAATGATTATTGTATTCACTACAAACAAAGACATGTGAAGAAGGTTTTTGGCTGAATGTGGGGGCAAGCGTAAAAGGAAAGGGGTTTGTAGTTTAAGTCTTTTTAGGCAGATTCGGAGATAAATGGGATTGATTAAAAGGGTGTTTGATTTCCTAGATCTGGAAAGATGTTATGAACAAGCCTTTCTTGTTTCTACCAGATGTTATGAACAAGCCTTTCTTGTTTCTACCGACTGTCCAATAAATGGAACTTCCATTGTCTTTAGCACCCAAGAAAGGCCGTGAAAAAAGAAGAAGAAATGTGGAGCCTTGTTAGGCAATTTCATAGACTTCATTAGGAACTGCAGTGAATAAAATAAAAGCTCCGGTTGATTAGGAAAAGGATTCTTTTAAGCCTAATCCTCCACCCTTCTAGACAGTCTTGTTTTTGCATGGGCGCCACGGCGTCTAGACTACTATATATTATCCTTTTTTTTTTTTTTTTTTTTTTTTTTTCA